AAGCAAAAATTAGGAAAATGCCCGAATTTTAGCAAAATATGGAAACGGATCTTTTTTTCCAGCACCCTACAGACCTTAATAAAACCCTCCATGCATGTATTATCTCATCCCTTTTGCATAACCATGCATAATAAACAAATGATATGCATATTTTAGCTGTGGATAACTGAAATAAACATTTAAATTCAGCAAAAATTGAGCATACGTTTACATGAACAATGTCACTCTTTGTAATTCAATTTTGAAGACATTTTAGATCAAGATAAACTATTAAATGTAAAAAAGTTTGTTTTGTCAATTTGTAAAATTACATTCAATTTTACAATGAATAGAACTCATTTAAATCAACTTCTAACTCAGCATATTTTTCTGATCATGAGAACGGAGCACTATTAACAACATTACAGCATCAAAACCATAACATCTTCACAGCTTCTGGAAAAAAGTTTCTGTCAATATTTCAACAAAGTCTTTGGCACCCTATCCAGCAGCCATTCATAAAAAGCTAGCATCTCTTTACCACTTCACATCTACATGTAATGATTGTTCGAATAGGAAAAGTTATTTGGTCAGTGTTTTTTTTTTTATTTGTATTATTATCTTCATTATTATTTTTTGATAACAGTAATAATACTTGAAATGGTTTACTTCCTGATTTCAGTATATGTCAATAGTGATGGGGTGAGTGCGGCCATTATTGAGGGAAATATCACGGTGTCTAACGGAGTGGTGCACGTGGTCGATCAGCTGCTGGGATTTGTTTACAATAACGTTCGTGAACAGATTCAACGAGAGGGAACGTATGTAGAATTTCTCTCGTGGGTCCTTGTATAAAGCTAATTGGATTTAAGTAATGAAATGGGAGTTCTTTTCTTCTAGAAACTCATTTTTTTCTGAATTTCTATAAATCGTTCATTTCATTGAAATGATATCCCATCCCGACTTCTTTTGAAATAGATGTACAATCACACTTTATCATTCCATAATTAAAACAAGTAGTGATAAATAACTGGTAGTTTGTTTTATTAATTACATTAATTTCATCAAATTAAACATGTTCACTGTAACCATGTTTTGAGTGATACTAAATGTAACATTACATATCTAAATTCATTCAAATTTTGTTTAGGTTTTGAATCATTTAATATTTATTTTATGTTTTGTATCATTTAATATTTATTTTAAGGAAATTTGAACAGCTGATAAATCTCGGCACAGAAAACGTCAGGAATTCCTTGGTGCAGCCCTCAGGGGTAACTGTCTTCGTGCCTCTGGACGCCGCCTTCCAGAAAATCGCCAACATCCGCTGGGCCAACCTGAATAGTAACCAGACTTTAGTGGATATGGTAACTATCTCAAAAATGGAGATTATACTAGAAATCTACTACTACATGTATAGGCCACAAAAAAAAAAAAAAAAAAAAAAAAAAAAAAAAAAAAATACAACTGAATTTTGATATTTGAACACGGATATCTGGAATACCTTGAATATGTTGAAGTGATTTGAAGTCCAAGCTACTTATTCTTTAAGTAGAGGTAGATAATTCGAATCGAAGTTTTTTCTCTGCCCCATTGAATTCAAAATAACAAGGTTTGACTATATCTATAGATTTTTGGTACTGCTATATTAGGCAGATTCAATTTTTTTAACTCTACTGGTCGGAGACCAGAAGAGAATTAGATTGTCTTTCAAGCATGTTGTTGATCCATGGTCAAATACCAGCATTGCTCCATTCCAGGGTTGTAGGCACTGTGGCTGCGATAGTGTACACAGATCTATCACAAGAACAATATGCTGACCTAGGGCTATGTATGATGACAACCATTAATTCAAGTAGTGCGTTTTTTAGATCTTAAGATATGTGATTATTAGTTAGGCTTAATGCTATGATCTTTAACCCAGCTGGAGAAATTCTGTTGTGTTTTTTTTTTCAGGTGCTTCGACTGCATATTCTAGTACCCAACAACCCGATTATTATCTCCTCCTTGCCAGCATTAAGCGGATATGAGAATCGTCAATACAGACGAACCATTTATAATGGCGAGAGTGTCACCATTTATAATGAAAGAAATGGTAAATAATTACATGTTGTTTTAATTTGACTTTCATCAGATCTACAAAGTTTGGACAATTTTTTAACAAGCTGGTCTCCCTCCTCCCTTTATAAAAAAAGTATTGGTGTCAAAATTGAAAGAAAATTTATACATGTATGATAAAAAAATTAAAAAAAAATGATTTTGAAGACATGAAAGCATCCATGCTTATCCATTCTGCACCTTGAATCTCAAAAAAATTATTTTTTTGGCAAATGTGTTTAATAAATGTTTATGTAGAAGATTCAAGAAGGAGAAAACGTTGAATTCACAAAACACTCATTTATTATTAATTATGATATCTTTTAAAAGTTGCATAGAGCGATGGCGTATCTATTTCTATTTTTAGAAACCTGGGTACAGGGTGGTAACGTGAAGGCTCGCGTGATCAGACCGGACATAACGACCGTAAACGGCATGATCCATATCATTGACTCTGTGCTGGGAATACCCTATCTGGATCTTCCAATGCTAATCTGCCATGACGTTTGGCTATTGTAGGTGTAGATAGGTCATGAACAATGAAGTTAAATAATCATTACATGCCTGAGATGGATTGACAAAAATATAAAATCTCAATGACCTCTTGTCATTTTTTATGCAACATGGTTATGTGTCAGAACATTACGTTGTAGTACTTTTTCGTGTTTCATTATAGGCGTACATATGACTACATGAGGAGAGTGGGACTAAAGAACTACCTTACGGACCGTAGATTTACAGCAGAGACGTGCAGCTTCGAAATTTATGGCTATCCTCCAAATTATGGATCAACCGTGCTCACTAACCAGGGAACCACCTGCCCTACTTACTGTAGTCAGGCCCAATATCAGAACCAGTACCCCTGTAACACAGCACAGTGTCAGACAAATACTGGTTCCACCACGTGTCCCACTTATTGTGCCCAGGCGAATTACCAGAACCAATATCCATGTAATACTGCTGTGTGTGCCAATACCAACACTGGAGGGGGAACAACCTGTCCAACCTATTGTTCACAGTCTCAGTTTGCAAATCAGTATCCGTGTAACTCGGTCATTTGTACGTCTGGGTCTAACTGTCCCCCCTACTGTTCACAGCCCCAGTACGCAAACTCCCAGCAATGCCTGAGTTGTAAAGGGGGATTAGCGAGCCAGTGTCAGTATATTAGCTACTGCAGTGACCCAAACAATGCCAACAAAAGTCCGTGCAACATGTATCCATGCAACATGCTAAATAGTTTGAACACAGGGTCGAAGGGTTCGTCAAATTATGATATGGGGTACTGCGGATCGACCACTGTGGCGTGTGAATTCACAGTCTTTGTTCCTAATTCCAGTGCTATTGAATATTTTTCAGTGTCGCTTAATGGCAACAAAATTATGAGAGACACTCCAAGATTTCAATATGTAAGTGAAAAAATTGTAGTAAAAAAATATCTATGCAAGTTATCAATAAAAAATTCTTCTTTCAACCAACAATTTTCAAGAATACATAATTTAAATAATTGAATACATGTTTGCTTGTTTATTTATTGTTTAACGTCCCTCTGGAGAATTTTCAATGCACTAATATGGAGACGCCACACTTGCCGGTGGAGAGCTGCAATTTTGACCTATACTCGGCACTCAGGGCCATTGAGCAGTGAGGGATCCTTTTCATGCCAGCACTTACTGCGACACGGGACCTCTGTTTATATGGTCTCATCCGAAGGACCGGTCCTCACGTGCCACAGTGAGATTCGAACCCGCGAAGTAAGGAGCAACTCCTTACTTCGCTACTCTAGAGCGAACGCTCTAACCACTGCGCCACCCGGGCGACTAACAATTGTATATAAAGACACACAAAAAACTTCTAAATATGCTCTTTAATGTCATGCATTTTGCAATTTGAATTCTTAGAAGCACTTTTATAAATATCTCTTACATTATTAATGGTAATTTCTCCTTATAACGTGACAGAAATTAACGTGTATAAAAGTGTTTTATTTAATAATTCTAGAATGTAGAAATTTAGACTGTATAACTTTTATTTTTAGTTGTTTAAACGGCTCATTGTTCCTAGAAGAATCTATATAGAAAAAATGGGAAACGGAATCCACCAGATGAGAATGTTAAACGGGGAGACGATTAATCTTACAAAAACAAATGACAGAGGTAATAATCCAGGAGAACCTTGTTATCTCAAATTTAGTAGTCTCACTAAAACAAATGACAGACTTAATTATACAGCCAAATCTCGTTTTCGCACACCAAAACATATACGTAAGTCTTTTTATTGTCGAAGGAGTTTTCTTATGAAAACAAAATCTTTATAAGAGAGTTCTTAATAACTGGAATTTACTGTATTTGCTTCTTTCACTTTACTGCTCTGTGTTATATTCTCTATAGGGATATCAGCCAAAAAAATATATTAAAAAAGACAAACTGACATTTTTATCTATTTTTAGATGTGAGGATATACTTTGGAGGAGCATCAGCGAATGTTATTCACATGGATGAGGGGGCGACTAATGGGGTCATGCATATCATTGACCAGTTGTTATTTGTTCAGGAAGATCTTACAAGAAACATAACATCATCGAGTAATCCTGAGAAATTTCAAGAGATTCTGGGATAATATTGATAAATCATGAAAACAAAACAAAACAAAGATATGAAAGTTTACTTATACAATTTATAGTGATATGCTATCAGAAAATATAACACACACCCACACACCCACACACACACACACACACACACACACATATATATATATATATATATATATATATATATATATATATATATATGATTTGTTGTATTTCTATTGCAATACGTATTTTACCGTTTACTCAGAATTTACTCCAGTTATATTATTTCTGATTATTCCAATCAATTTGTTTTTGCATCTTTTTTTTTTTTTTTTATCTTTCTAGCAAGTTATAATGGAAATTCACATCATTACAGATGATACCTTTTTGTCTTGGGGAGAATGGACTTCTTGTAGTGTTACTTGTGGAAACGGTTCCCAACAAAGGTATAGGGAGTGTGGCGGATCCTGTTCTGGTTCGTCATCCGAATCAAGGACCTGTTATCCACGCTCATGTCCAGGTAAAATGAAAAAAAAACATTACGTTGATAAGGCATAATAGAATTATAGCTTGTTTATATCGGTTAGCCCATTTGTTTTCTAGTGAATGGTTTATGGAGTTCTTGGGGTAGCTACAGCCCCTGTGATAAAACGTGTACGCACGGCTGGAAAGTCAGATTCAGGAATTGCAGCAATCCTCAACCGGCACACGGTGGTCTTTCTTGCATCGGTGATTCATTGGAAGCTGTACGGTGTCCTGGTATAAATATACAGTTTTATAAAAGAATATAAAAATACTTAGTAGACGTATTCGTTATCAAGCTAGGTTTTGATTTCAAGTTGCAAAAAAAAAAAAATCTAATCATGTATATAATACGGCATTTCTGTCACAATCAATTGCATGTGCAAAAATGATAAACACACTTGAGTACTTTTTTTACATACATGAATTAATTGTATCCTTCGCTATCTTGAAAATGCTGGGAATAAGCCTATATAACGCAAGAATTTCAAATATAAGCTATATGTGAAAGTATTTTCCTACCTATAACGATTTCTTTTAAGAAATAAGATGTAACACAGACAAAACCCGAGCAAGATTAATAAATTATAGAGCTTATTCATGCAGAATATTTTCAGCTAATCCTAGTTAATCATTTAAGCTTGACTATTATATACACGATTTACAAATTCTGACAATTTACGGACGTGTATCGGAGAGAATCTCGCATATTACCTAATAATAATAACAACTAGATGAGATCTCGTTGCGAGCAACGAGTGGGTCTTCCGTCCGATTTTTGATAAGATGAGATAAGAGTTTGACTGAGATTTTCGTTTAAATATAATGATATAAATAAATTGTTAAGACGAACAATTTTGCTTTAATAATGTTTAACAAAATATTGGTCATTAAAGGGTTATAGATTAAAGATTTTCGGCCCTTCTTGGCCCCTAATGTGAGAGGTCAGCCCCTTTTTCTTGATATCATCTTGAAGCTCTCATGATTTTGAACACTTTTTGTTCAATAACTATTCAGAAACTCTTTTTTGTTTTCGGGATATATGCAAAAGAAATATTAAGGGTCGGCCCTTCAAGTCCTAAATGGGGACGTCTAGCAAAAATTCAAAGAGTGCATATTGTTCAGAATATTATTTTGAACGTCTTTTGTTCAGTATTACTTATCAAAATATTCCCCCCTTTCGAGATATAAAGCGTCAAAAATGTAGCATTCTGGCCCCTTGTGACCCCTTATTACGTAACATATGATCAGAATCTTATCATATATTTTAGTAAATTGTTAAGATAACCATCTTTGCTTCAGTAATGTATTACAAATTATTGATCGTTGAAGAGTTAAAGATGAAAGACTTTTGGCCCCTCTGTTTATCAAAATATGCTTCCTTTTCGAGACATATTGCACCAAAGATTATGCAATCTGGCCCCCTAAAGACCCCTTGTTGCGCAACATATGATATCAATATCATGTTATTTAGATAAAGTGTGTGAAGAAGAACTATTTCGCTTCAGTAATATATTACAAAATATTGATCATGAAAGAGAAAATGATTGTGTACTTTTGGCCCCTCTCGGTCTCTTATTTAAGGGGTCAGACCCTTTTCCTTGATATTACCTTAAAGCTCTCATGATTTTTACACTTTTTTTCAACAACTAGTCAGAAATTCTTTTTCGTTTCTGAGATATTTGCAAGAGAAGTATTTAGGGGCCGGCCCTTCAACTCCTTAATGGGGACGTTTAGCAAAAAATGAAAGGTTGCATCTTGTATAAAACATTATTTTGGACATCTTTTGTTCAATATTGCTTATCAAAATATTTCCCACTTTTGAGATATAAAGCGTCAAAGATTTAGCATTCTGGCCCCTTATGGCCCTTAATTATGTAACATATAATGTGAATATCATAATATATAGTAAAGTTGTAAATTGTTGAGATAAACGTTTTTGCTTCAGTAATGATTACAAAATATTGATCGTTAAAGAGTTATTGTTCAAAGACTTTCGGCACCTCTCAGCCCCTATTGTGAGGGTCCAGCCCCTTTTTCTTCATATCTCTTTAAAGCTCTCATGATTTTGAACACTTTTTGTTCTACAACTAGTCAGAAATTCTTTTTCGTTTCTGAGATATTCGCAAAAAAAGTATTTAGGGGCCGGCCCTTCAACTCCTTAATGGGGACGTTCAGCAAAAAATGAAAGGTTGCATCTTGTATAAAACATTATTTTGGACATCTTTTGTTCAATATTGCTTATCAAAATATTTCCCACTTTTGAGATATAAAGCGTCAAAGATTTAGCATTCTGGCCCCTTATGGCCCTTAATTATGTAACATATGATGTGAATATCATAATATATAGTTGTAAATTGTTGAGATAAACGTTTTTGCTTCAGTAATGCATTACAAAATATTGTCGTTAAAGAGTTATTGTTCAAAGACTTTCGGCCCCTCTCAGCCCCTATTGTGAGGGTCCAGCCCCTTTTTCTTCATATCTCTTTAAAGCTCTCATGATTTTGAACACTTTTTGTTCTACAACTAGTCAGAAATTCTTTTTCGTTTCTGAGATATTCGCAAAAGAAGTATTTAGGGGCCGGCCCTTCAACTCCTTAATGGGGACCTTTAGCAAAAAATGAAAGGTTGCACCTTGTATAAAACATTATTTTGGACATCTTTTGTTCAATATTGCTTATCAAAATATTTCCCACTTTTGAGATATAAAGTGTCAAAGATTTAGTATTCTGGCCCCTTATGGCCCTTAATTATGTAACAAATGATGTGAATATCATAATATATAGTTGTAAATTGTTGAGATAAACATTTTTGCGTCAGTAATGCATTACAAAATATTGATCGTGAAAGAGTTATTGATTAAAGACTTTTGGCCCTTCTCAGCCCCTATTGTGATGAGTCAGCCCTTTTTCTTTGATATCGTATAAAAGATCTTGTAATTCTACACAATATTTCTGTTCAATATAGCTTAACAAAATACTCATAGTTAAAAAGTTATCGTAAGAAATGTCTCTAAAATTCACTCATGATTCGTGTCCTAAATTTTGACCCCTACCGAGCTTCCATACTAGGCACTTCCGAAAGATTTGAAAACCCAGGTGATCAATGGCAACATGTCCTCTATCATCGCTGAGAATTTCAGCACTCTAGCTTTAATCGTTTTTGAGTTCCATTGCAGACAAGGAGGTCCTCTGAATTTTGATTAAAGGGCGATAACTTCCGACCGGAAGTGAATTTTAAAAAAATGAAAAAAACGTATAAGGTTCAGACAAAGATACATCTTCCCTGAAATTTTCAAGTAAATCGATTGAGCCAACTCCGAGAAATCTTCTGCACAAAAATTGTAAAGAAAAAAAAAGAATAATAATAATAACTAGATGAGATCTCGTTGCGAGCAACGAGTGGGTCTTCCGTCCGATATTTGATAAGATGAGATAAAAATTTGACTGAGATTTTCGCTCAAATATAATGATATAAATAAATTGTTAAGACGAACAATTTTGCTTTAATAATTTTTAACAAAATATTGATCCTTTAAGGGTTATAGATTAAAGATTTTCGGCCCTTCTTGGCCCCTAATGTGAGAGGCCAGCCATTTTTATATCATCTTAAAGCTCTCATGATTTTGAACACTTTTTGTTCAACAACTATTCAGAAATTCTTTTTTGTTTTCGGGATATATGCAAAAGAAATATTAAGGGTCGGCCCTTCAAGTCCTAAATGGGGACGTCTAGCAAAAATTGAAGTGCATATTGTTCAGAATATTATTTTGAACGTCTTTTGTTCAATACTGTTTATCAAAATATTCTTCCTTTTCGAGATATATTGCGCCAAAGATTATGCAATCTGGCCCCCTAAAGACCCCATAATGCATAACATATTATCATAATATATAGTTGTAAATTGTTGAGATAAACATTTTTGCTTCAGTAATGCATTACAGAATATTGTTCATTAAAGAGTTATTGTTCAAAGACTTTCGGCCCCTCTCTGCCCCTATTTTGAGGGTCCAGCCCCTTTTTCTTCATATCACTTTAAAGCTCTCATGATTTTGAACACTTTTTGTACAACAACTAGTCAGAAATTTTTTTTCGTTTCTGAGATATTTGCAAAAGAAGTATTTAGGGGCCGGCCCTTCAACTCCTTAATGGGGACGTTCAGCAAAAAATGAAAGGTTGCATCTTGTTGAGAACATTATTTTGAACAACTTTTGTTCAATATTGCTTATTAAAAAATTTCCCACTTTTGAGATATAGAGCGTCAAAGATTTAGCATTCTGGCCCCTTATGGCCCATAATTATGTAACATATGATGTGAATATCATAAAAAATACTTGTAAATTGTTGAGATCAACATTTTTGCTTCAGTAATGCATTACAGAATATTGTTCGTTAAAGAGTTATTCTTCAAAGACTTTCGGCCCCTCTCTGCCCCTATTTTGAGGGTCCAGCCCCTTTTTCTTCATATCACTTTAAAGCTCTCATGATTTTGAACACTTTTTGTACAACAACTAGTCAGAAATTCTTTTTCGTTTCTGAGATATTTGCAAAAGAAGTATTTAGGGGCCGGCCCTTCAACTCCTTAATGGGGACGTTCAGCAAAAAATGAAAGGTTGCATCTTGTTGAGAACATTATTTTGAACAACTTTTGTTCAATATTGCTTATTAAAATATTTCCCACTTTTGAGATATAGAGCGTCAAAGATTTAGCATTCTGGCCCCTTATGGCCCATAATTATGTAACATATGATGTGAATATCATAAAAAATACTTGTAAATTGTTGAGATCAACATTTTTGCTTCAGTAATGCATTACAGAATATTGATCGTTAAAGAGTTATTGTTTAAAGACTTTCGGCCCCTCTCTGCCCCTATTTTGAGGGTCCAGCCCCTTTTTCTTAATATCACTTTAACGCTCTCATGATTTTTAACACTTTTTGTTCAACAACTAGTCAGAAATTCTTTTTCGTTTCTGAGATATTTGCAAAAGAAGTATTTAGGGGCCGGTCCTTCAACTCCTTAATGGGGACGTTTAGCAAAAAATGAAAGGTTGCATCTTGTTGAGAACATTATTTTAAACATCTTTTGTTCAATATTGCTTGTTGAAATATTTCCCACTTTTGAGATATAGAGCGTCAAAGATTTAGCTTTCTGGCCCCTTATGGCCCATAATTATGTAACATATGATGTGAATATCATAAAAAATACTTGTAAATTGTTGAGATCAACATTTTTGCTTCAGTAATGCATTACAGAATATTGATCGTTAAAGAGTTATTGTTTAAAGACTTTCGGCCCCTCTCTGCCCCTATTTTGAGGGTCCAGCCCCTTTTTCTTAATATCACTTTAACGCTCTCATGATTTTTAACACTTTTTGTTCAACAACTAGTCAGAAATTCTTTTTCGTTTCTGAGATATTTGCAAAAGAAGTATTTAGGGGCCGGCCCTTCAACTCCTTAATGGGGACGTTTAGCAAAAAATGAAAGGTTGCATCTTGTTGAGAACATTATTTTAAACATCTTTTGTTCAATATTGCTTGTTGAAATATTTCCCACTTTTGAGATATAGAGCGTCAAAGATTTAGCTTTCTGGCCCCTAATGGCCCCTAATTATGTAATATATGATGTGAATACCATAATATATAGTTGTAAATTGTTGAGATAAACATTTTTGCTTCAGTAATGCATTACAAAATATTGATCGTTAAAGAGTTATTGATGAAAGACTTTCGGCCCTTCTCAGCCCCTAATGTGATGAGTCAGCCCTTTTCCTTTGATATCATATAAAAGATCTTGTAATTCTACACAATTTCTGTTCAATATGTTTTAACAAAATACTCATAGTTAAAATGTTATCGTAAGAAATGTCTCTAAAATTCACTCATGATTCGTGTCCTAAATTTCGACCCCTACCGAGCTTCCATACTAGGCACTTCCGGAAAATTTGAAAACCCAGGTGATCAATGGCAACATGTCCTCTATCATCGCTGAAAATTTCAGCACTCTAGCTTTAATCGTTTTTGAGTTCCATTGCAGACAAGGAGGTCCTCTGAATTTTAATTAAAGGGCGATAACTTCCGACCGAAAGTGAATTTCAAAAAAATGAGAAAAACGTATAAGGTTCAGACAAAGATACATCTTCCCTGAAATTTTCAAGTAAATCGATTGAGCCAACTCCGAGAAATCTTCTGCACAAAAATTGTAAAGAAAAAAAAAAGAATAATAATAATAATAATAAAAGTGAAAAAGAAACAATAGAATAATAGAAGGGTCTTCCGTTGGAGACGGAAGACCCTAATAATAAAAGTGAAAAAGAAACAATAGAATAATAGAAGGGTCTTCCGTTGGAGACGGAAGACCCTAATAATTTATATGGGATTTGAGAAAGGAATCACTATATAATTACAAATATTAACCATCATCGCAGCATATTCAACCTTCAAAACATATTTCTAATTTTTAACATGCAACAAGTTAAGAGGAATGGAACATTTATGACATATTTTCAAACAAACTATGTTGAAAGAGGCCATGGTACATCCATGACTATAGTACCTAAATTTGTACATGTAGTTGATGGACAATGTTCAGCATGGTCAAGGTCTGAAAAGTGTAGTAGAAGTTGTAGAGCAGGGGTTCAGATAAGGATAAGACACTGTTTTAATCCTGCTCCTGGATACGGTGGTAACAACTGTTCTGGAAGGTCTATTGAGAGCAGACCATGCAGCCCCGGGAATCGTCCAAGTTTTCTCTTTTTGCTCCCTTCGTTTTACTTGTCATTGTTCCACGTAAACCAAGATGTATTTTTAGTATTTTTTTCCTATCAAATTTCCGTAGTTTTCCATCCTTATATGTCTTTCTTGTGGTTTATATTTTTTTCTTTTCGTTATTTCTTTCTTTATTGGCTTCCATAATACTGTATTTTAAAATAATAGCTTTAAATATTTTCAGACAAATCGTTCGTTTTTGAACATCATAATACAAATGAATGAACACCAATTGTAGTCAATGGTAATTGGGGTCATTGGGGTCACTTCCGGCCATGTGACATGTCATGCGGTGGGGGGATTCATATCCGAATGAGAAGATGTGACGACCCGCCTCCTTCTGATGGAGGGCTTCAATGTCCTGGTCAATCAATCCAAACCGAGGCATGCAACACTCAGTCATGTCCAGGTACAGTATAAATGAATCCTGCGCAATGGGAATTTTTCTGTACATTTTAAATCCTTTTTTTTCTTGTTTCAATTATTTTCTTTGCATTATTTCAGATACCAGTCAACCAATTGATAGTGTGATCGGATAATATGTACCCGAGTATTGTAACATATTATATAATGAAAAGGATATTCCCTTTAATTCTTTTTCTTTTAGGAACCAGATATTATATCTACTTTCTGATGATACAAATTTATCGAAAGGACTTTAAATCCTTAAACGAGGTTAGATATTTTACAAAGGTCCGTGCTGTGTCTCCATAGTGTGTTTCTACTTTTAGGAGAAAATCAAGTATTGAATCTCTAAATATCCCCTATGCCCAACGTGGGCGCCATTGTCACAGCCTTGTATAGATATAAAGTTAACATAAAACACAACACGCCCGCTAGCGCTTGGTTCGATAATCGTATATTCTACGTTTATGGAATGAAATTTATACAGATCAAATAGATATTGAGTAAGAATTACAAAAATGGTCTTGTCAGAAGAAATGCTTATGTGGAATTTGAAAGCCATAGCTCCAACCGATCAAAAATTACGGGCAAGGTTAAAGTTCTTTTGCGAACAAACACGCAGACTAACGGGCAGGGCAAAAACTATACACCTAAAAATTTTCGACTAAGAGTTTATAAGATCTACTTGCCTACTTTTTTGTTTTACCTTTTAACGTAATGCAGTTCGAAAATAATAAAAAAGAAATTCTCAATCTTTACCAAAAATAAATTATTTAAAGCCGTGTGTCTATTTTGCATTTTCACCATTGCTAAGTGCATAAATACGTGCATGATTCTAAAAGATGGTTTAAAAGACCAATACTTCTTTTACCTTACAAATCAATTGCTTCATATGTTCGAAGAATTATAAAAAATGCAACTCTTAAGTGAAAAATGGAGATAACAACAATAATCAAGCTTAAAAGTTCTATATACAATAGTATACAAATCTGGAGCAACCCTAACTTACATTTGTAGTGGGTACTCCCGGCAATGATGGTAAACACAGCTGTAACTTGCACGTTTGTTAAGGTGACTTCATCATGGCCAATTGAAACAATGATAGATGGTAGATAAATGGATAATATGGAATGTATAGAAAAGTCCTTAAATATATAAATTGCGTCATAAAAATATGCACAAAAGGTATATGAATAATCTGATATTCCTATCATAAAGATATAACAAATTATCTCTCTTCCCTTTTACAATGAATTATTATATGTTTCAATTTTATTCGATATGATAACATGAAGTATGTTATATAAAAGGAAGTTAACTCTTAACAAATCATATGGGTTATTTAATTTATTTAATTTATGGAATTGAACTTTCTCCAAATGCAATAACATGTATATATATTCTTTACTTATTGTATTACCTCTGTACAATAAATAAAATAATCATGGTTTGTTCTTTACTAATACCTTTCTCATAACCAATAGACATTTAAATTAGTTTAGTTACTAAAATATTCACATCAAAATATTTCTAAGTATATATGAAATATATGGAGATAACGATCAGTGTTCAAGCTCAAAAGTCCATTAAACAATACAAAATAGGAGCAGAGCAAACACGGACCTCCAAAGCATCAGAGGTGGGATCAGGTGCCATGGAGAAGTAAACATCCCCTGCCGACCGGTCTCACCCGCCATGTGCTCCTTGTCATGATCGGAAAATAACGGTAAAATCCGTCGACAATTCAGTTTGTAAATAATGGCCTAACAATTAGTATAAAAAACGTCAGTCAGCATTTGACTCAATGATAAATTGTATTTGCTGATAAGGTCATTGTATCGACCATAGAACTTACGAAATGATGACTTTAAACGAGACTACTGATATTCTTGTTTCATCAACTTGTTTGTTAATAATTTACCTCGTTTTGGAAATTGTACCTTCGTAGAGCATGAGCTTGCGTATCGAATCAACTGAGAGATATAAACCCCGTATGCAGGTGATATATACAAATTGATTTACTGCATTAATCCATCAGATTTATCTATATCTGAATAGACAGAATAATTGAATATTAATTTCAAAGTAAAATATTGTTTTCCACCTTTTTAACATAGATTATGGAAAGTAATTATATCTTAAAGCATTAAAAGGTAAAACTTACCTTTTAGGGAACTGTCTATTTCCAAATATTATATATAATTAAGTCAGCAGCAATATGTCTTCTCCATTTTAAATCTAAATCTAAATCTTGAGCTAAAACTGAATAAAACTCAGTACCCCACAATGACCAAACTTTAAACCAATGAAATCTATCCATTTCAAATTCTGACCATAGATGTATGTGTGGTCATGTAAAAGTACAAGTGTGGATCCAAAAGGTGTAAAGCTATGTCTCTAAATACCCAATCATATTAGTAAAGAATGAACAGAATGAAACTTTAATAGAAATCTTATCATTTATGCATATATGACATGTTTAATAGTTTATTTAGTTTATCAAGTTGATATTTTATATTTATTTTTTATCATTTAAAATCATTTAACTTTTATTATTTTAATAAAAGTACCTCTACTAGACATTTTCCATAAGATCCGTGGAGTTCAATAACAGATTCCGTGGAATTCCAAGGAAAACTGTTCCAGGGAATTCCGAGGAATTCTCGAGAGTATTGGGACGGAACTTTTTGTGAATTCTATGGAGTTTCAAATCTAGCCTGGAAAAGAGCGGAACAATGCCATAATAGAAATTCGCGGAAATAGCTGGAAATCTGTGGTTTTCCATGATATTTGGAAATTTATGGAATTCCAAGAAATTCCACTGAAATCCCAGAAAATACAATGAAAAACTGGAATACTTAAAATAGTTAGGGCCAAATAATTATAAAAAAACTTGACTAAATCATAATTTTTCATAAAACAAATCCATATTTAAAAAAAAAAATAAAAAATCATTGTTTGCTTTACAATGTGTTTTGGGACAAATATTGCAGACACATTTATACAGTATGTACAATGTAAGAAAATTTTTAAAAGTATTCTCAATGAACATATTTTACATCAAATGTTATTTAAAAAAAAAATGCACTAAAAATATCGTTATTGGAGGATGACCTTGGTAAAATTAATGATAATCATGTTATAATATACATGTATGTAGTAAAATTTAAGTCTGCATAAGAAACTGAAATCAAATGACTTTTCATTTTATTTGTCAACATATCCTTACACCCACAGAAAATCCTTTGTACCTTGCGTAATCTCAAGCATCCGACATTTCTTGATAATAAAACTAAACAGATTTTAAAACAATATTAATTATGACCTTTAGCTTCATTAAATAACCTTGGGAAAGGTCACTGAAACCTCAACAGGGTATACGTGCAACATTTATATACAGTTACAATGAATTTCAGGTAGTCCATGTACATTTATTGTACACAGTTAATGACTAGAGTGACACAAATATCTACTACACAAGTATATTTGGAAGATCCCATAAAATCAACACATGCTATTTTTCCCCCATTATGCCCAAAGATCTTATTTATGGAAGGTCCTAAACTTCTGAAGTGTTGGCTACGCAGTCACAGTTAAGGCTGCAATAAGGAGGCGGGGCCTAATTTATACGGGAAATGCTTACTATGACATCACACAAAATTATAAGTTCTTCAAATTACCACAAAATGAAATGATTTGCTATTTTTAACTTATGAATAGCTTTAAACTACATCAATACTAACTAGTGCATGCATTATTGTCGTTGGTTAAATCACACACAGCAATATATAAACAATTCACTGATCGCAATGCACTTGTCAATGTGACGTCATATCGGAAAATTTGACGCAGTTTGATTGCAGTGAGAGGCGGATCAAGTTATATTTATACAATGAAAAATGCATTTTGTAATTAAATAAAATATAAATTGTAGATATATAAGAGGCCATTAATTTGGAGGCGATGTCTGTTTTATGATTTTACTCATATACTTCCCGTACATTCCCTAGACAAGCGATACTGTCGTATATTTTTATGCAGATTCATTGAAGGGTAATAGAAGGGTAGTAATAAATCGATATATTGCAAGGGCATACCCTCAATGAATTATGACAAGCTTTTACACATAAACTCAAGAAGTATGAAAATATTTGAAAAGTGCTGCGAACCTGTTGAAATCTTGCAAATGAATTAATTATATCTATATTTAATGTACTTGACCAGCAAAATATTCAAAATACGGTCTAACAAATGTAATTTTAGCAACTAGATAGTAGAATCTATATAGGTTCCCAGCACTTTTCACAAACTACAAAGAGTGTTGAAAATAATTATATGTTAAACTTAAATTTTTAACTTGGTTATGCCCTTGCAATATTAGAATTTATAGATGACCTCAATACTTTAGGTATATTTGCTAAAATCACGTGACTGCCACATCACGTGACAAGTCTTAATAAGAAATCTAATCGTCCTCAACATTTAGTTTTCAACCACATTGCATTTGTCAGATAATAGTAAAGTCCTAAAAAGAAATGCCCATCCTTGTAAAGAATGTATTTTCTATCTAAAAAATTAGCCGATATTTCCATTTGGCACCTGAACTGTGCTGCGTAGAATCACTTCCTCACTGATATCCCATGAAATTCACTACTAATAAATCAATAACAGATGGTTCTGAAAAAAAATGTTACCGAAAGAAAAGCCTTGTCTCAGGGAATATCAGTATGAAATATGAAAGCCCTAGCAAAAAAAAAATGAATAGTTATGGCAAAGGTTAAAGTTTTTTGAAAAGTAAGTTAAATGTCATGGTCAAGTGGTCAAAATCAAAAGTGTCTTGTCACAAGTAATACACTTGTGAAATATGAAAGCTCTATAACCAACCATTCAGAAGTTATGTACAAGGTTAAATTTTTCAAAAGTAGGTCAAACTCTAAGGTCAAAGGGTCATTATTGTTGATATTGTCATAAGGAATACACATGTGAAATGTGAAAGCCTTTCACCAACCATTCAAAAGTTATGGAGAAGGTTTTTTTTTCCAAAAAAAGGTCAAACTCCATGGTCTAGGTCAAAGGATCATAATTATTCGTATCCAAGGGAAAGTCTTGTTACAAGGGATACACATGTGAAATAGGAAAGCCCTATCACCAACATTTCAAAAGTTATGGACAA